TGTGACAAACTAATAAAGTATGTTAAATTTAAAAAAATCTGTGGCCAAAGAAAAATAAATCTATTGAAAGCTAACTAAGTCTATTAAACTTAAGTAAATCTATGGCCAAAAAAAAATTCTGTTTAGTAAATCTGTGAAATATTTATAAATCTGTCAAATTTAAGAAAATATGTGGCCAAAAGAAAATAAATCTATTGAAAGTTAATTAAATATGTTAAACTTAAGTAAGTCTATGGCCAAAAATAAAAAATATGTTAAGAAAATCTGTGAAATATTTATAAATCTATCAACTTTAAGAAAATCTGTGGTCAAAAGAAAATAAGTATATCTAAAAATAAATTTATGGTCACTTTAAATTAAGTCTGTGATATGGCAAAACCGTAATTTTTTTTATTTTTTCGAAATTTTTGATAATTATATTTTTGTAAATATAATTTTTCCTAACAAAAGATTTGAGAGTATAATAGGCATGAAATTTTTTTAGTAATAAAAATAAAATTAGAGCTATTCTAGTAATTAACCAATAAAATAAATGCCAAACTACTTTTTTCCCTTTTATTTAAGTCTAACGATTAAGTCGAACTGATAAAATTATCAAGAACACTTTTGCACTAGTTGATGTGTTGGATTCTTCATCCACCACATAGGCACATAATAATGACTAAGTTTCTCTTTGGTCTAAACACACTTTTCTTAGTTTTCTTGGGACTGTGGCACAAAATGAATCGATTTTGGTTAAAAACAGTAAAAAGGAGCTATTTTTTACCATTTTTAGAACAAATTAATGGTCAAAATTTGAGAGTTTTCCTGTAGTGCTGGAAAATGACTGATTAATAAAACTATATTTGCGTACGATTATTATGTTAATCAGTATTCACCAAAACTAGGCCAAAAGTTTGAAAGACTCGAATACTACGCAACAAACCAATGGTGGACCAAAATAAGATAATTTTGACTTGTAATCGCATAAAAACATACTATAAATCGGAGAGTATAATCACCGTTGACATCAGTATCAGCTTTTGCTCCGTAGAGAAGAAGATTAATTTAGATAAAAAGGATTTCAAATAATTGGGAGAGAGGAAAATGGGGACTGTTATGAGATTGAGCATCTGATC